GTCCATATAGGTTTCCAGAAGTTAAACGTTCATTCTTAGGAAAGGTTCTATGGCTGAGTGACTGATCTTTGATATTCATACTCCACTGCCCTAGCTAACAAACAAATACGCAAAATCGTTGCTTCAGCTTCGCGTTAATGCAAAAATATCCTGCCTACCTACCTGTGTATGTATGCGTGCATCTGTTTATATGCATATTTACTTATGCAATTGTCCAAATTTTTTGCCATGCAACCGCAAATATGGGCGCAGCCATTGAGAGGCATAAAGACGCAAAACCAATTTCTCCTCCCACCCGTCTCACTTACACACAGGCAGGGTTCTCAATTATATACTGCAACTTTTCAAGAAGGCGCTAAAACAAAACGGCTTGCCGCAATGTCCAGTAAGCCTAGCAAGAGAACTGGAAGCAAATGGAGCGGATGGAATTCTAGAAAGAAAAGAGGGGAGGTATACACAAAAAGCGTGATCGCACTTTTTGCCTCACAGGTATCACTACTTACTTTGGAGGACGAATTTTCAGCTGTCCATTACTTGCCAAAGACGCATATCTACTGGAGAAGTGTGATGAATATTCGAAAAACGCACGTCCTGATCCTGGATCTAAAAATTGATAAGCCATACCTGATCATATACCCTTTCTTCCAAACAAATTATCACGTCAAATTTGCCTTTGAAATGTTGAAATTTCTGTGGCATATCTTTTATCCTACGATTTCGATCGAGCATGTGCAGCAGGCCATTCTGCGTATACCTAAACTAAGAAGTTTCAGGGAAAAGGCGTAAAAAGGAAGCGGAAGAACAAAGGCAAAACGTGACAGGGCGACTTACAGTTGGAAATCCTTCTGCTTCAGATCATTGTAAATGTATTCATAGGAGACCATTCCAAACTCGTAGCAATTCGGCCGATCCGGCGAAGGACCCGGTAGTTTCACCTGACTTCCAGACCCAAACGATTCAACGTTAAAGCCTCTTTTCCTAAAACCAAAAACTGTTTTTGGGAAAAAATAAAACATTTTTACTTGAATTGCTGCAGCATTTGTTGCCGCATTCTTGAGCGCTACCATTTTCACTCTTTTCATTGTTAGGTATTAAACAGCACAAACAACGCCGGGATGCTATTCCTACGAGCGAACTTCTTTTCAAATAATCATTATGAAAATGTTTGCGCTACTAAACTCATGTAAAAAAGGTCTGTTAGATCCAGAACAACCATTCGGTTTCTGTGACAACAATGCGCGTGCAATTTTGATTTACATTTGTGAGCTGTAAATGGAAATTTTAGGGATGACCGCACCAAAAATTGTGCAAATGCAAGCGTATGTTAGGGGACGGGAAAGGAAAAACGCTTTCATCTCAGCAACCAGGAAAGTTGGGAGGCTGAAACTTCGGATATATGTTCCTACTCCGTGTGCCATCCTCCCGTTTTAAGATCTTTCCCCATACGCACCTAAACCCCGCGTACGCCCCAAAGAAATATATGGCGGGAAACGATTTGTGCGACTGTCATTTCACCGAGATTTTCAACCGCCAAGCCTAGTACACAGAAGACCGAGGGGCGGAGAAGGGGGGGGGGGGGGGGGGGGGGGGGG